GCTCTAGGGGCCTCTATTCCCGGCAAAAGATATTCTAAAAATATTGGAAATACTCCACTTCTTTATTACAACATATTCGAGAATATGAATCATATTTGGACAACAAAAATACTTTCATTTTTTTAAAATATAATTGCAGAAATAAAACCAATCAAAAACCCATGAACTATCCGCATTTATAAAGACGTTCTACATCATAATATTGTAACGTTTTTACAAAGTACAAATGATTAATAATTGCGTTCACTTACATGTAGGTTTCCTTCTTTAGAATTACGTTTATACTATAAAATCAAAACAAACTTCAATAAAGCAATGGCGAACAACTGACTTAATTTCACTATATATATTTTCCTTTGTCCTATCTGGATAATGATTTTAAAAAACTAAGTAAAACAAACTATAACAAAAGAATCACTAATGATGAAACCAATGATCAACTATATACATCCAATTAAAGGTATATAATATGTCGTATTCGTCTTCTATTTTTAAAAAAATAAATATTTGTGGTGTCTTATTAAGGTTTCGTCAAAGGTCAACTTGTCTAAAAAACAATTTTTACAATAGCTCTAAAACTATGTGTGGTATAAAGTCAAAACGTTTACAGTTTATAAATATATCATTGATTAAGAGATAGAAAGTAACACTTGGTAACAAATATTTTTAAAAAGATTTTTTTTTTTAGAAAAATTGTATCAGAAAATGTGCATATTTAAAATAAATGCACCTGCTTTATTCTTTCCTTTTTGTAAAAATCATCATTGCAGAAAAAATATTCGTTGATCATGGAAGGGCAAGTTGGACATGAATGGTCTCTGAAAGGCCGTTATTGAAAGCATGACATGTATAAAGACAAGACCCCATAGAATCCACCATTTGCAATGTACTTTAACTTTCTAGTCTTAACATTTCGACAAACTAACAGGGAAAATAACTTTCCATAGGCTATCCAAGTCCAATTTTCCCTTCATTGATAAACATATTTTGTTTCTGCAATGATGGTTTTCACTTAGAGCACGGAATTAATCAAGTGTAATTTAAAAAATATATATGCATTTTTTAAGAAGAATTTTTCTCAATTAATTTTTTTTCAAGTATTTTTTTTTTATCTTAGATTCTTAGAATTCCAGTCACAGAGTTGATCAGGTCAGAAGGATTTTAAAACAAACATTAAAGGCTATTCGATTAGATAAAACTTAATAATATACTTTTTAAAATATATTTTACGAATATTATGCAGAATTTACAAAATGAATCCTCTCTTTATCTAACTGATGATTTAGATATTTACAAAATGTGCAACATATTCGAAGTACTACTGAATATATTTTATCAGGTATTAGTTACTGACAATTATCTTGAAAAAAAGACGCAATCTGAAACATCTATTTTTATATTTTTAGTAGAAAAAAAGACATGGATGGCAAATAAAAAAAATATCATTTTTATAATATACGTAATGAATTCTTCTTCTCTATTGTTGATTCCACTTATCTATGTAGCAAGTAATAATTAACTATAACCTGCATAAATGGAGTGTATATCCCTCAGTGGAATCTACACACAAGAACATCTTCCTTTTACAACCAAAGTCTAAGGAGAGGCAGATTATTGACAAAGAAACTGATGATACAAGGATATCAGGAATATTTCAATTCATGTCAACATATCGAAAATTTAATGGTTACTACAATGATCTTGATTTCAACTTGGTGTATGGTCTATTGTTAAGTTAAATATGTTTGCTGGGCTCTTGTTGACACGTTGTGGATGTAAATCATCCATCACATGAAAAACTATAAATATAAACTCGTGTCTAGCAGGCAGAGAACATGCACAAAATATATAAACGGTAATAAACAAATCACAAGATACCTCGTCCTCCGGTAGCTATAACTTTTTTTATCTAATATATGATGATAAATGTTTGCTTAATGGGTCAATTTATTGAACAACGATTGGATGTGAAAACAACAGTAGCCAGCATAAGGTGGCTAAATGTGATATGTGAGAAGTTTTGTATTTCCTGGCAGTTGTGGAGTTGATGAGCAGTCCTGATGAACCAGGTAGGCATAATGTTATGTAACTTCATGGCTGAATATACCTGACTCTATGTTTGTACTGTTTTTGTATTACAATGAAATACAGTGACTGAACTTTGAAGAGGTCCATTTAAAGTAGGTCCTGTCAAACTAAACAAAATCATTAGATTACTTTACGTAACTCGTAATCAAATTAAAACTCCAATTATAGACATGCCTTTGTATGCTTAATTTCATAAAGCAGAACATGTCAAAGGTATATAAAGTACACACCCCTCAAAATTCAACAGCCAATATTTAACACAGATAGGTAAAGTCTCTTACTTTATCCAATTATGCACAAAACACGTCAGATTTAGATTAAAATTAGAAAAATTCAATCGATTAGAAAGGTTTTGGCAATTTGCTCAGGAAATGATAAATGAATTATGATATAAAATCTACCGACATCCAAATACATCACAAAAAATATATTACTAAATAATTCCTACAACCTTAAATGTTTAATTTTAAACAATATTTTATTCACAGATGTTGTCGTGAATAGGATTGGGCAGCAGGCGCAGCCTATTTTAGCCCTCTCAACCTTAAATGTTTATATGCCATTTAAGAAAAAAGAAATATTTAGACATTTATCTAATGTTAACAAAAAAAAATTCTTTATTTTCACCAGATGTTTTTTATGAAACAATCTTTTGAATATGTATACCTACGGAAATTAGTACATGTCTGTGCCCCCCCCCCCCCCCCCCCCCAAAAAAAATATATTTTCTCTGGCGGCCGCCAAATAAATAATTTAATATGGCGGTGGTCAGATGATTTTTTTCACCTGAAACTAACCGGCTTCCGTATTTACCCGTACCTGTGAGATGTCATTTTTTACTATTGTTCTGTGAAACATTTGGAAAAAGTAAAATATTAAAACTTAGTGAAGTCTTAAAATCAATAAGCAGAGATCTCAAGTCAATTTACATAAAAAGGTAAAAGTTTCGTTCATACAGGCAATTATAATGTCTTTGTCTCTGTGTTTGTATAAAATGGCTTAAAGATCAAACAGGCAGGGTGCCATATATGCACAATAACGCTATAATGAACACGTACATGTAAATGGTTGCTATTTAAATTAAACCATCACTTGAGAAAATCATATGAATAGAAAAGTTACAATCGGAGTTGTATAATAGGTTTTTAAAATTTAAACTGGATTTGTAAATGTATTGGCCTTCCTTTATCAATAGGGAACAGAGCAAACATGATTTCTACAAACGTCAGAGGTGTATCAGGTATCATGAAGGAGGAAGCTTTCCACAAAGACCGGTTACATAAACAATATGTTTATTGTCCTTATCGCGCGGGCCGGGCGAACAAAAACAATCCACAGATCATTTAGTGTTTAAAAAAAGGCCTTACAATTTGTATGTAAAACATCAGTCAGCTACTTTTTGATAAATTGTATTTGTCGACAACTGTATTTGAAAACTTGTTCGTGTACCTATGTACTCGCTTAGTACAAACATGGATATTGCAAATTTACGGATATAGCGAAGTCATCTTGGATCCCCAGCAATATATATTTTAATGATTTTCTTATACGGTTATAACGAATTACGGATATAGCGAAGTAATTTCATAGGTCCCTGTGACTTCGTTATAACCGAGTTTTGCTGTACTTTGTATATTTTGATATTTCCCGTAAACGGCCGATAATTCATATGAATTTGACAGAGAGCTGACATTGAGGATATCAAATATGCAAGGTAAAAGTTTCTCTAGTCCACCAAACTGAGCAAACAATTAAACGAACTTTGAAAGGGGAAAAAGAGTGTCATACAGATAATGATGAATCGCGGTATGTAGGTACACCTGAATCTTTATCTCAAACCTGAAGTGAAGATTACCCGTCGGATAAAGTGAAGCTTTTCATAAAATCTCTATTCAACACTTTATATGCTTTTTCATACTGCATGACTTAAAGTACATTCTTAAGGAACCACTGTCTAATTTGTTGGATATTGCATAACGGGGTTAATATCTCTTTGTTAATCCGATATGCAAGGGCATGCTCCACGTATGTACAATTTCTAAAACTTGGAAAACTTTGACAAACAAGTGGACCAAACAAGAAAAGTAGCAGTCTCATTTAAAGTCATCATTTCGTAAGTTCTGTGGTCGTTACGATGATCTTGTCATCAAATACAATTTATCATTGAGTCAAATGCTAACTGACGTTTTACATACAAATTGCTAGTACATTATTTAATATTAAACATTTTCAATAAAATTCCCCTGTGATTCTTTACAATATAGAATACAGTTCATTTTCTAATGAACTACCATGAATGAGCATGAATATCTCAATTGTTAAGTCATAATACTGCACTGGAAGTCAAAAATTTAGCGCAAGGTGTTTTGCTTTAAAAATAAAAATTCAATGGAGTAAATTTAATCAGCACATCAGAAAAATAATGTAAATATAAGAAATGAATTTAATTTTTGAAGATTCATGAGGTATATGAACTACAACGCTTTATACCGGTATATTTATCATGAAGCGCTAACACGCTTTGTGAAATATGCCGGCATGAAGCGTTTTAGATCATAATCTAATGAATCTTCTAAAAATCAAATTGCTTAATACACTGAATTGGCGATGGATTTTTCCATTACTTCCCGATCATGCCAAGGAGCGCACGGCGGATGTTACCGGGGATGCTTGATCACTCCTCCATGGCACCTCATCCCACCTCTGATGTTTTCGAGGTCCGTGTTTGCTCTGCTCCTATATTGTATTGTTTTATGGAGTTCGATATTGAAAACTGTTCGTTATCTCCATATACTCTATGTATTTCATGCAACATTTTTCCATAGAAGAAATTGCTTTTGAGGGGTTTTGTTTCATTTTAGATGAAAAAGATATAACTGTCAGAGTATTCAACAAGAAGTTAACAGTACATTATGGCTTTATCTACACTCAATATTCACCCAAGTACAACAGGTCTGACCAAAAGCACAACCTCGATTGTGTCACCTGAGGAAACCAACTTTCTGCGATTTGTTAACCTGGTCCTGAAGAGAGCACCAAAAGCTGTTAGGGTCTATTTTGATACAGTTCATCCTCCATGTAATCTTGCTACTGATCTAGCATCAGAGAGGCCGACTCTGACTAACTTAAGGGCTAGAAAAATCATAAACCAGGTCCAGTGGAACACACTTTTCGGAGGTAAAGTTGAAGGCATGCAATGTTAAATTTGTTTGTTTGTTGATTTTTTTGTGATCTATTTTGTGACTGCATCTAGCATAACGACATTGAACTTTACATCCGAAGGACTGGTCTCCACATCCCACAGTAGAGTTAAACCCGCGACTAAAGTGACAATGTTGAAATGTGTTCTGTTTACAATCTTAATAAACTCCACTAATTCAGAAAATATTTGGATTCAAAGAAGAGTGTAAAAACAGCTTTAAATAAAGTATTATCTACCAAAATTAAATAAATATATGGTAATCCATAAATTCTGTATTTTAGCTTCAGTTTTTTTAATTTAATAACTTCGCTTTTTTATTAAAAAATTTTGTATGTTTTTTCATTGATTCGTTTTTATGTAATAATTTCCCTATCTTGTTTAATAATATGGATTTATTTATTTGATAATTTCTTTTTCTTCATTTGATAATTTCTTTTTCTTTATTTTCAAATTGATAATTTTGCTTTCTTTCCTTAACCTAACAATTTTATTCTTTCTTTTTTTTTTTTTTTTTTTTATAATTTTTCATTTCTTTATTTAATTTTGTCTAGCCGAATTTGGCTTCCGTAAATTTCAATTTCATACAGAAAATTGTAATCTTGTTGAAAATTCTATGTTTCTCCGTCTCAATTCAAAATTTACAGATAAATGATATGACACACATAAAAGAGCAACATGAAAATAACAAAGACAAATCCATGGTTTACTAATCAAATAAATAATTTTAAATTTGATACTCAATCTTCATCAGAAAGTTCTAAAAGGTAAATTGTAGAGGATTCTAAATGTGTAATTGTGATTGTAAAACGATTTTTGAACATTGCGGAGGGTTTGCAATTTCTGAAATTTAATTTGTATCATCAGCTGTCCTTACGGATAAAAGATTTTTGAAACAGATTGCTCTTTGATTCACTGTAAAATATTTTCCTGGGGTCAAATTTTCGTGGTTTGAGGAAAAATGTTGGTTTGTGGGGATAGGATTTCGTTGATGGACTGTTTAGTAATTTTGCGTATGAAAATTTTCATTTCGAGGTGAGCATGCATTCGCAGGTCTCTTCATACATCGAAAACAAAGAAAGTTACCCCCCCCCCTCGAAAAATAGTGATTTCAAAGTAATAATAAACCACCTCATATTCAATTATTTTAGTTAACCAGCTTCTGTCAATACATTTTGATGTTACGCTGTTAATCTGCCTTTTACGAAACATGAGTCCCTCTACACCAGCACCAGCAGGGGGATTTGATGTTCTACCTAATTCATCAGATGTTAGCACAGGGGCTGACTTAGCACGAATGAAGTATTACAGAAACAAAGTGGCCCATTCAGCAGACGCAAGGATGGTTACAAATGAATTAAATACTAGCTGGGCAGACATTGAAGAAGTAAGCAAATCTACTTTTAGCCATATAAGAGAATATGAAAATTATTTCATGGCATGGTAATGATTTATTTTTCCTAACATTAAAAAGATTGATTCGTGGAAAATTAAAACCTGAAAAGTTTTATATCCACATAAACGAAGCGCTACGTATAAGTGAATGAAGTGTTTAATCAGTGCAAACACCGAACAATACTTCATAAAAAGAGCAAATTTGATTTTTTTTCATTATTTGTTTGTATTATCTAAAAAGCGGTTGAAAGAAGATATTGTAGTGCTCCTGCTTGAATAGACTGACAAAAGAATTATATATAAGTAAGTATGATAAGGGACTCTGTTAAAAAAGAACACTAAATGAGGATACAATTTTTTTTTTGAATTTCTATGCAAAATAAATCTAATGCACCACGCAGCAAGTGTGGAAGTAGATGTTTTCGTATTTTAGCCATACATCAAAATAATTGATTGTATCGACTTGTTTCCACATCTTTGTAATCTTGTTGTCATTATATGTACATAACGCTTAAGAATGATATTACATCATATTTTTTATTTAGTGTTTATTCGTAAAAAAATCAGTATAAACAAGAAATATGTGCATTTTCAATTTCAATAAAACCACTTAAACTGATTAATGCAGCATTGCTGGAACCGATGCAGTGATAAATTACAAAATATTGATTTGTTTTAAATTGAACTAATTATCAATAATTATTTAAAAAAAATATAAGTTTAGCGTTAGTCATATTTAGGTCCTTTTTCTACAATTGTTTATCTATGGTTCATACGTATTTTTAATGAATTTAGCGCATATATGACAAAAAACATAAGGTTGTAAAAATTCTAGTGAGCTCAATTTTAATAATCTAATCAAAGATCAATTACCCTAAGTTCAACCCTTAGGTCAGCATGCGTTTATTGATGGACAAGCAGTGATAAATAATACAGACATTATGTATATGCATTTTTTTTTAATTAATAACAACTTTTTTAATACTTAAATTATATGTTTCCTGTCATATATTGATATACTCAAATGGTGTAATAACTTTCTCGTATTGGTTTTACTGAAAGAAATCAAAGACATGTATTTTTCTGTCTACCACTTTCCTGCAATGGTAGGGATATTAAATTGTTTCTCTGTACATCTATCAGATTTACAGTCACACATTTTAACCTCTGTCATGGCATTTAAATGAGGAATAATTAACCACATTGAGAGCAAATCCTTTAAGGCTATTGGAAGACTTGGAGGTTCTGCTTTACTGAATGAAGCTAAAGCTTTAAGATTTTCTCCAATCGATGAGTCTGAGAGAGAATTTCTTTTGGAGCTAAAACAACTGAGTTTTCAACATTCAAAAACGATTCCTTGGAATATTAGAGGTGATATATCAGTTAAAAGCAAATAAAATAAAAGTAGAATAATTTTTTTCTTCTCTTTAAGGAAGAGATTGCAAGGGTCTGTGAAATAAAATCCGAATTGTTCTCATGTTAACATAAAATTTGCCTCACGTTAATGATATCATAATATGAAAATATCTACCATTATCATTAGGGTTATAAGGAAGTTACGATTGCCACGGTAGTCACGCAGCACAGTTACATTTAAGGCTGAAAAGGATCGGAGCCTAATTTGTACAGGAAAACTTAACTATAACATGATACAAAACCGACAATTTGATTGATACTGCAGTATATTTGTATGCAAGTACTTCGGAAGGTAATTTAAGGGTCTTAATAAATCGATCAAGTGCAAGGGCATACACACAATGGGTCATAGTAAGCTTTCACAAATAAACTCTATAAGTATTGTGGTATCTGAAAATGCTGCGATCCTGATGAAATCTTGAAAATAATCTAAATGTATCAATATTTCATGCCGTTCACCAGAAGAAACACAGTATTCGGTCATACAAATATGACTGAAAAATGAAATTGCATAATTTAGCTAGGATCGCAGCACTAATCAGGAACAACAATGCGTGTTGAAAATATTTATAATCTTAATTTAGAAATTTAACTTAGTTAAGCCCTTGCACTAGTGAAATATATAGGTAATATCAACACTGCACGTACGAGGGTTGTCTGGTAAAATCGTTGACAAAGAGCATTTCTCGAAAATTAATGGACGTCTTAAGCTGTTGGTAATCTATAGACAAAAATAAAGATTTTATTATGCTTGAATATGCACAGGGTTCCGACTAATGGCGCACAGTCATAAAAGCAGGGTTTTATTACAGAATATGCAAGAATTAATTCAAATAAAAGTTTTGAGTACCGGTACATTGGATTGGGGTAAAAAATTATCCTTATTCTATTCCACAAACTATTTTGTCGTATTTTTAAAATTTTCAGTGCATATGATCAATTTTTGGCAGTTTCCCGATCATTCGAATTAAGAAAGTGGTAAAGATAACACACGAAGAAATGGAGACGTTTGATGATCGTATGGCGCACCAGATTGTAGTTCAATTTATTTCAATGTTGTAAAGACATCGTATTAAGAGACTTTATATGAATACAGAAGAAATAACACGAACATATTTACAGATATTTTGTATACAAATGAAATTGGGATTGTCTCAGCGAAGTCTTTTAAACGAGTCCCCTGTTAGAACAAAACTTACAAACAAACTGCTATTTTAATATTAAAAGACGCTGTCTCTGTTGATCGACGAAGTAAGATTGTCTATTAATGAATTGGTGGTGAAAATATTGTCCCTAACTTAGTAGTAAATCTTCAGAGGATCGCATGTGTATGCCAGATAATTTCCTCGACTGTTTATGGGGAGCAAAGTATGTGCATCAATGAAATTCCTAAATTTAAGTTGCAGTTTTTCAACTTTATTTTCAGCAGAGATTAAACGTGACGCTTTTTTGGACACTTTGACGTTATCATCCGTGCGCCGTAAGACGATAGAATACATAAATCTCATCATAATTTATTTCATTTATGCATATACATGTAGCTGTTTGAAATTTTTTGTGTATATTCATAATATATGTACCAAAGAGAAGTAAAAGTTTCAGAATACATTAATTATTTTTCATACTGAACAACTTGTCAAGGATTTTACCGCACAACCCTCATAAATAGGCTGAAATCACGTGACTGCCGCCGCATCACATGAGAAGTCTTTATATGAAGGATTCGGAGATAACGAACAGTCTTCAGTCTTCAAGTCCATAAAACAATACAAGTAACAGCTTTTCAAAAAGCTTGCCTGACTTAATCAATCAATATCTGTAAGATAAGTGATAAACCTTTTGAGCAATACTTTTTTGTGTTTGAAATATGTCTTTATTTGAGAACCTTGTAAAAATATTTAATTATTTTTAAAAATTGTAGAAGAACGATGCCTTTGCTGCATTCTGAAGAGTTGTTAACAGAATAGTTAACAATGTGGGTTTTCTGCCAATCGCAACTCCTCGGTCCTACTCCTCGGGCCTTATCTAGGGGAGAAGACCACAAATGTATTGTTAATTTATACGCCATGACACCCCCCCTTTTTCACAAACTTTAAAATAAAAGCATGGATGAAGTATATAGACAGGTCTACTATCTGTGGAATATGGAGTTAACTTTATTCAATGTTATGATATTATCTACAATATACTATAGAAGGGACTTCTAACTCCGTTTTTACTATGAACAGGAAATGTATAATTTTTTAACATCCGATGATGTCGATACATTCGAGTTTGTTTTTCGACCTCTGACGAAAAGACCCGAGATGATGCGATTGACTCTTCTGAAAGTAGATTGAAATACCCCTGGATCTAAATTTAAAAAAAACTACACCTATTCTGATATTATGTTGTCAAATCATTCATTGTGAACATTTTAGAGAATCGATATAATTAAAAACATATGTTGTAGGAAAGCATTTCCTCCAATGAAGAAAACAGTAGTAGTTTGTGTTCATTGATCTTTTTTTCTGAAAGGTGGGTACTATAATTTTTTGAGAACGAAATAGGTAAAACCAACATTTAGGCCTTTGTGGAAAAGAAATCCAAGATTTCGCACAGGTAATTTCTTTCGTCAAATCGTCTGGAATCTGGTTGAACTGCGTCGATCGTTTGTGGTGATTGGACTGCCATTAAAATATGGAATAAACCAACAGAGGGGAAACAAATTAGAGAAATCATTTCTTTTGTTTTGCATGTCCATATTCTGATACATACGATTCATATGTTGTTTTAAGGAAAAAGATAAAATTTGTAGACAGAATTTCTGAATCATAAGAAGATGGAGGTTACAATAAAATCCATAGAAGTTAGCACCCCCATTCATACAATAGAACAATCCAAGAAAAGGCGCAAAGATCGCTTACTCGTGACATTTGGCGCAAAGAGAGCGATTCACCCCTTTCGTAGAATGTAAATGGACTGATCCAGTAGTATAGAAATACAGAAAAAAAGATACACGGACACGTTGTAACGGTAAATCACATGGATTAATCTGTTTCATGCAAACAGAGTAAACAAAGTAAATACTGCATTATTTTGCATCAGTAAAATCATTGTTTCCCTGAAAAATGTTTCTTTTAAAATGCAGGTAAAAGATTTCCAATGTAAATCAGCTTGCACAAAATCTAGCTCTCTGGGTATGATCTATTAGTTTCGGATCAAGCAATTATCAATCCTTATACAGCCTGACGCCGTGACGTCAGGCAACAAAATAAGAGCAGAGCAAATACGGACCCCCGAAACATCAGAGGAGCATAATCGTCCTCAATTTGTAATAATTAACCATAACTACAATTATCCGATATAAATAACGTACTAAAAAGTAATCTCCACCCCGATTATGAATACATTTTAAGATACAAAATATTGTCGATTGTGCGCCTAAACTGTACTGCGCACCATTTTTCAATCTTTTGATAATTATGAAGTGAACTTTGAATTACATGTATTCCATAAACACATCAAAATTTAAACAAGCTACCCCTAAAAATTGTAAAACATTTGGATGATATAAAAATACTACAACACACTCCATCCTTCAGCATCTTCTTTCTCTGTCCTAGAAATGGTGATACTTATGTCATGAACACAATCATATCACGTTTCGTATTTCGGAAATAATTTCTTTTTTTTAAACTTCACGTGACGCCTTGCAATCGCGTCTTTAGGTAATACTGTTCTGAACTTGTAACTTGGCTGAAAATTTTCTTTGATGATTGCTGTCAATCGTTTTTCAACTCCCTAAAATAGAGAAATCACATCACTGGTAAGTGTTTGCTTTTATAATCCTTTGTAGAATTAATGGTAGAAAAACTTGTGTCCTGGGAAAAGGAAGATCATGTTTTTATAGAAATAAAATCGTTCATAGCTGTTGAAAACCTTATCAAAGAACATCCATGTGTTGTTGTTGTTGGCCCTCCTGGATCAGGAAAATCGGCACTAATTCATCACATAGCCTTAAAAATGGAAAAACAGGGCTTTTCTGTCATACCTATCGATCGTTCTGATGAAATTATAAAATATTACGACAGAAGAAATCCTCAAGTCTTTGTAGTAGATGATCCATGTGGGGAATATTCAGTTAACGATCAAGCTAACGAATGGGCTAGCTATTCAGAAGTTATAAAGAAATGTTTGAATTTTATTCAAAGCGAAGATCAAGTTCGGTCAAAACTTTTAGTTTCATGTCGATTAGTTTTAAGTTCAACCAACACATTTCAAAGAATTAAAGTTTTTTCCAATGCTTTATTCAATTTGGAAAATGAAGAAAATCATTTAACATTCATTGAGAAAAAGAAGATCTTGGAATCGCGTGCAAAACGTGACTTAAATTTCCCTAAGCATATCTTTGAAAAGCACATTGATTGTTTCCCGTTGCTTTGCAAACTTTACAATAACATATTGGCTGATCCAGAGCGTTGTGTATCTTTTATTGAAAACCCATTTATTCAACTGGTCTCTACGCTTGATCTGTTGGTAGAGGACCCGAAACCAGGACCAAATTACGAATACTGTTCCCTAGTTTGTTGTTCCCTTGCTGAACATAAACTTTTTCTTTATCTATTTAACAAAGAACAAAATGAAGATTTTGAATGTCTTTATGGAATTCACAATGCCTGTAAAGTTGATCTCAATCCTTTAGAATTACTATCTGCTCTAAATAGACAAAATGGAAAGTATGTAAAATAAGTTGGTCAAACCTTTTCTCTGATACATTCGAAACTATTAGACATCATTGTTTGGCATTTTGGAAAACAATCACCCAAAACATTGATACGATTCTCGTCATTGGAAATATTTCACAATAGGCTAAGACCCCTTGGAAGACTAGAAGATAATGACAAGCAAGATTTATTTCTTGTAGAATTAAACGAAAATATGTTAAAGTTTTACATTAAAAGAATAGAGAGTGATATCAGTAAAGGGTTATTCAGTAATGTATTTAATAATCCTTACATGCCAAATGCTCGAATAGAAGCTTATCTATTTGACATCCTAGTGAATGAACGTCTTCTTGAAGAAACACTCTTAAAAACAAGTTGCATGTCGCCATCATGTAACATGAAAACATCGACCACTTTTTCAAGGGAAGATTTATCAAGAAATAGTCGAATTTCATTTCTTCATTTAATGATTGCATACAACTGGGCAACATCTTTAGAAAAACTTTTTGAAACGGGAAATAAAGTTTTGTTAGAAATAATATTTGCTCAACGGGCAAGCACGATACATTTAGCTATTTTAAGTGAAAATTTAGCCATTGTTCAGCTATGTTTCCAATATTATCGTGAAATATTTGAGAGTCTGTCTGAATTTATGAATTCGGGAATGCATTATGATACTTCTTGTTTATTTTGCGATAAAAACCAAGCAAAATCCAGTCACGACTCTCATTGCCTCGTTGTACTAATTCCGATCCCTCTTCTTGTTTGCATCTAAGGCAATATAAAAATATTGAAATATCTTCTACAAAACAGAGTTTTCTTATCCAATGCTTTAACCTCTGAGTACAATTTTTTCGATGAAACAGTTTCTCTATTGATGATAAGTACTTTGAATGGACATACTGATATTGTTCAGTATTTACTTCGAAATGGAGCATCTGCAAACTACCAGAATCACGAAGGCATATCAACTCTCCATGAAGCCTGCCAAAGGAATGATCTAAAATTAATTCAAGTGTTACTTTCCTATGGAGCTGATGTTAACAAAAAAGATAACGAAGGTGAGACCCCTATTTTTATCGCATGCAGAAATGGTTATATTGACATTATAGACCAACTTTTAAACAGTGGGGCAGATAAAAATGTACAAGACGCCATAGGACTGACCCCAATGCATCTGTATCTGTAGGAAAAATAAAAACTGTCCAGTTTCTTATCGAACGTGGATGTGATATAAGTGTAGCTTCTAACGACGGTGAAACACCATTTTCTCTAGCTTGTTTTCTCGGAGATTGTGATATTGCCAGTTTGTTACTTCAGAAAGGACTGCACGAGCACCAAATAGAGAATGGGCTGCTTAAATCCTGCAAAAAGGGGAATCGAAATGTTATTTCTCTTCTTGTTGATCACAGGGCAAAAGTAAATTACAAGAGTTCTAAAGGTTTTTCAGCTCTACACATTAGCTGTGCTCTAAACCATTCAGAACTTGTTTCATATCTTTTTACAAAAGGAGCGGATCCAAATATTCAAACAGAAAATAAACAAACTCCTCTTCACTGCGCTTCAAAGAGTTTATCTATAAAGTGCATTTCAATTCTACTGGAGAACATGGCAAAAATCAATGCAGTTGATGCCCAAATGAGAACAGCTCTCCATTACGCATTACAAACAACAGACCCTGCGCGATACTTTCCAGAGGAAGTTGACGAAAATAAATATGGAGTTGAAAATATTTTTGTTCAAAATTCAAGTTTTGCTAAAGAATTTCCGAAGTTGAAAATACACATTCCTTACTTTTCATTTTATACAAAATCTGAAAAACCATTTCATCTTTGCAAACAAGATTTAAAGAAGCTTGAAAACGTTATAAAAATTCTTATTAAAAATAATATCGATATAAACACGGTTGATATCGAAGGTCGCTGTCCTTTACATATTGCCTGTTTAGGGAACTTTCCGGAAATTGTTGAAACACTCATTCATAATAAAGCAAATGTCAATGCACCTGACAAATATGGTTCTACAGCTTTACATATGGCATGCGTCAACGGTTATTCTCATACAGTAAAATATCTTGTGGAAAATGGAGGAAACATTAATGCTATAGATTTAAACGGTTCTACTCCTCTGCTTTTGGCTTGTTTAATTGGGTATATAGAACTAGTTAAAATACTCGTACAAAGTGGAGCAAATGTTAATATTGCAGATAACAATGGTTCTACATTACTACATACTGCATTAAAGCAAAGACATCAAGACATCATATCCCTCCTAATATTTTATGGATCAAACGTGAATGCAAGAGATAGTAATCATTTCACACCACTGATAGTGTGTGCTTGGAAAAATGAAAAAAAGTTTTTTGATGAATTGTTGAAAATTGGAGCAGATATTCACGTAGAATCAAATGAAGGATTAAGTGCTCTCACTATGGCAATTAAAAGTGGCCACTACGACATAGCTGATGACCTGCTAAAGAGAGATGCTTATTTACATGAAAATAATTATAGGTATTTGCTTAACTTTATTATTGATAAAAAGAACATTTATCAGTGTTTAAATAAATATGGCAGATTTATTCAAAATTTTAGAAATGGAGAGGGACAGACATTTCTACATTTGGCAACGCTAGACAACAAAAAAGAATAGGTTGACTGTCTACTTAATCTGACCGAGTCTCTTGAAGTATTGGACAGTAAAGGACGCAGTGCTTATTTTTATGCGATAAAAAATGGGCTTGATAGAATTTGTGAAATGTTTGAAAAATATGACATGTCTGGTGCTGCTAGGAGTGCAGAGCTACAGAACGCATGCTAAAAAGACGATGTTGTAATTTTAAAAATAATCCTACATTTGTTTCCTATCTTATATTTTAGTGAAAGTGTAGTAAAGCAAAATTGTAAAACTCTACTACAAGTAGCTTTCAACGATGGAATCCACCATACTGTTCGATATCTAGTGAAAAATTTTATGTTATTTGAGTATTCACATGACAGTACTGAATATGAAATAATAATTGCAAAGGCCTTAAACAGCGGTAATTCGTTTGTGCTATATAACATTATTCTAGCAAGGCTTCCCAATGAATTATGGATACAACACAAGAGCACGATCCCTTGTCTCTCTATAGAAGGAGAGGAACAGTTTCGCCAGAACAGGAAAAGACAGACAAAGCATATCGATATATATTGGATATATCAGTATTTCAATCGTAACATCCATAATCCGGAGATTTTGCCTATTCTGACTATAGAAAGATATATCCGTAAAATCTTACGTTATCTTGAATTGAAAAAAAGAAATGATTTCTTGGAATTCATGTCCCGTAGAGATGTTATTGGAAATACCTTCTTGCATTATGTATCGTTAGTGCCACGTGGTCTTTCTCTTATTCTAGCAAAACACCACTCATTAGTGGGAAAGTGTGTAAATCAGCAAAACATAGCAGTATGCACTTCCCTTCACTATGCAATACGGAGTTCTGACAATATTAACTTTTTAATTAAATTGGGTGCTAAAACAGAAATAAAAGACAATTCTGGTCATGATGCTTTACATTATGCAAGAGTTTGTTGTTTTCAGGCAGCAAAAGATATCCTGAATCGTTATTGAAATGACTACTTAGAACTTACATTTGAAGGCGTTCTTTTTAAAATTGTAAATGATAAGATGTAGTTCTTATGTTTATGTACATTATCCATGGCCTTCTAATTTTCTTGATAAAATTTTAGCTTACTACAGAGTAAGTAATAATTGTTTTTCGTGTATTTATGTTTGAAAGTGACACAACGTGTAATTGATATCTCTATACTGTTTTGAGACATTCGGTGTTTTTTTGTTTTTTTACATGAAAGTCCTTGTCTCTACATACGGTACCTGAATTCAATTTACTCCTAAAACAGGATTTTGTTTCAATCGTGTTTCACACCTGTGGAAAAATTAAGCTCAAGTAAGCCTTTCTGATCAAAATGTGTCCGCCGTCTGTCGTCGTTGTCGTTTGTAAAATTTTTACTTTTTTTATCTTCTACTCAAGAACTTCTGGACCAATATCAACCAAACTTGCCACGAAGTATCCTTAGGTAAAGGGGATTCAAGTTTATTCAAATGAAGGGCCACGCCTTTATTCAAAGGGAGATGATTCAGAAAAAGAAAAATTGGTGGTATGTTTTAAAAATCTTGTTCTCAAAAACCACTGTGCCAGGAAACTTGAAACTTATAGGGAAAAATCCTCTGGTAGTGTAGATTCAAGTTTGTTCAATACTTGACCCCTGGGGTAAGGGCGGGGCCACAATGGCTGATCAAAGTTTTACATAGAAATTTATATGAAAATTCTTGAAAAATCTTCTTCTGAAGAACCACTGAGCCAGGAAAGATAAATTTATATAGAAGCATCCTCAGATAATGTATGTTCAAGTTTGATTAAATCATGACCCCCGGGGGAAGGGCAGGCCCAAAATGGCCGATCAAAGCCTTACATAGAAATATATAGGGAAATTCTTTAAAAATCTTCTTCTGAAGAACCACTGTGTAAGAATAGATAAATTCACATAGAGGCATTCTCAGATAGTGTATATTCAAGTTTGTTTAAATCATGACCCCCGGAGTAGGGTGGGGCCACAATGGCCGATCAAAGTTTTACATAGAAATATATATGAACATTCTTTAAAAATCTTCTCAAGAACCAATGTGCCAGGAAAAATGAAACGTATATGCAAGCATCCTCAGGGAGTGTAGATTCAAGTTTGTTCAAATCATGACCCCCAGGGGTAGGGAGGGGCCACAATAGCCAATCAAATTGTTACATAGAAATATAAATGGAAATTCTTTAAAATTCTTCTCAAGAATAGAAAGGCAGGCATGAATGATCATTTCCATATGGAAACAGCCTCAGGTAGCGTACATTCAGCTTTGTTCAAATCATGACACCCGGGGGTAAGGCAGGGCCACAATGGCTGATCAAAGTTTTACATTGAAATATATAGGAATATTCTTTAAAAATCTTCTTCTAAAGAACCTTTCTGCCAGTAACTATGAAATTCATATGAAAGCATCCTCAGGAAGCGTAGATTTATTTTTTTTTAAATCATGACCCCCTGGGGTAAGGGCGGGGCCACAATGGCCAATCAAAGTTTTACATAGAAATATATAGGGAAATTCTTTAAAAATCTTCTTCTGAAGAACCACTGTGCAAGGAAAGATAAATTTATTTAGAAGCATCCTCAGATAGTGTATATTCAATTTTGTTTAAATCATGACCCCCGTGGAAAGGGTTGGCCCAAAATGGCCGATCAAAGTTTTACATAGAAATACATGTATATAGGGAAATTCTTTAAAAATCTTCTTCTGAAGAACCATTGTGCCAGGAAAGATAAATTTATATAGAAGCATCCTCAGATAGTTTATATTCAAGTTTGTTTAAATCATGACCCCCGGGGAAGGGCGGGGCCTTGATATTTATATGGAAGCATCGGATGATCCTTAGATAGTGTAAATTAAACTTTAAACCAATCTTGACCACTAGGGGAAGGACGGGGCCACTACATGGAATCCAAGTTTTAAATAGAAATATGTAGAAAATTTCTTTTAAAAAATCTTCTTTTCAAGAATGGCAAAGCCATGATTAGTCGTTTTCATATAGAAGCATTCTCAGGTAGCAACAATTTAAGTTCGTTCAAGAAATAACCCCTGGGGGTAGGGCGGGCCACAATGTAAGTTCAAATGTAAAGGGCAATAAAGCCACAAGTAGTTAAAGAAATATGCAAGCATCCTTAGTTAGTTTGTTCAAATCATACCCTCTCCCCTTTAAAGATAAGTTGGGACCACTTTTAGCTGTCCATTACATATTGCCTGTTCAGGGAACTCTCAGGAAATTGTTGAAACACTCATTCATAATAAAGCAAATGTCAATGCACCTGACAAATATGGTTCTACAGCTTTACATATTGCATGCATAAACGGTTATTCTCATACAGTAAAATATCATGTGGAAAAGGAGGAAATATTGATGCTATAGATTTAAACGGTTCCACTCCCCTGCATTTGGCTTGTTTAATTGGGTGTATAGATATAGTGAAAACACTCGTACAAAGTGGAGCAAATGTTAATATTGCAGATAACAATGGTTCTACATTACTACATACTGCATTAAAGCAAAGACATCAAGACATCATATCCCTCCTAATATTATATGGATCAAACGTGAATGCAAGAGATAATTATCATTTCACACCACTGATAGTGTGCGCTTGGAAAAATGAAGATTTTTTTCGATGAATTGTTGAATCATGGGGCAGATATTCATGTAGAATCAAATGAAGGATTAAGTGTTCTCACTATGGCGATTAAATGTGGCCACTACGACATAGCTGATGACTGCTTGAGAGAATTGCTGATTTACATGAAAATAATTATAGGTATTTGCTTAACTTTATTATTGATAAAAAGAACATTTATCAGTGTTTAAATAAATATGGCAGATTTATTCAAAATTTTAGAAATGGAGAGGGACAAACACTTCTACATATGGCAACGCTAGACAACAAAAAAGAATGGGTTGACTGTCTACTTAATCTGACGGAGTCTCTTGAAGTATTGGACAGTAAAGGACACAGTGCTTATCTTTATGCGATAAAAAATGGGCTTGATAGAATTTGTGAAATGTTTGAAAAATATGACATGTCTGGTGCTGCTAGGAGTGCAGAGCTACAGAACGCATGCTAAAAAGACGATGTTGTAATTTTAAAAGAAATGCTACATTTGTTTCCTATCTTACATTTTAGTGAAAGTGTAGTAAAGCAAAATTGTGAAGCTCTACTACAAGTAGCTTTCAACGATGGGATCCACCATACTGTTCGATATCTAGTGAAAAAATTTATGTTATTTGAGTATGCACATGACAGTACTGAATATGAAATAATAATTGCAAAGGCCTTAAACAGCGGTAATTCGTTTGTGCTATATAACATTATTCTAGCAAGGCTTCCCAATGAATTATGGATACAACACAAGAGCACGATCCCTTGTCTCTCTATAGAAGGAGAGGAACAGTTTCGCCAGAACAGGAAAAGACAGACAAAGCATATCGATATATATTGGATATATCAGTATTTCAATCGTAACATCCATAATCCGGAGATTTTGCCAATTCTGATTATAGAAAGATATATCCGTAAAATCTTACGTTATACTGAATCGAAAAAAGGAAATGATTTCTTGGAATTCATGTCCCGTAGAAATGTTATTGGTAATGCCTTCTTGTATTATGTATCGTTAATGCCAATTGGTCTTTCCCTTATTCTACCAAAACACCACTCATTAGTTAGAACGTGTGTAAATCAGCAAAACATAGCAGTATGCACACCTCTTCACTATGCATTACAGAGTTCTGACCATATTAACTTTTTAATTAAATCGGGTGCTAAAATAGAAATTAAAGACAATTCTGGTCATGATGCCTTACATTATGAAGAGTTGGTAGCTTTCAGGCAACAAAAGATATCTTGAATCGTATTGAACCGACTAATTAGAATTTACATTTGAAGGCGTTTTTTTCATTTGTAAATGATAAGATATTCAAATGTAGTTCTTATGTTCATGTACATTATCCATTTCCTTCTTATTTTCTTGATAAAATTGTAGCTTACATCAGAGTAAGTAATAATATAGGGTTATTGAACTTATATTGGTGAATATTGGCACGAGTTGGCTGTTCAAATGCACGAGCTTGCGAGTGCATTTAAACAGCCAACAAGTGCCAATATTCAACAATATAAGTTCAATAACTCCTTTATTATATAGCTAAAACATTTCCACATAATTAATAATTATTCCAACTAAAAAAAAAGCAAATTAATGATTTTTTTAAATATCGGTATTCAAATTAACGTCTGTCCTGTAAGCGTTCAATATCGCATCATTCCGATGACCCTACCGAGCGATATGATTTGCTTATTTAGGTTTTAATGGGTCTAATACGTACTATATTTTAATAAATAATTTCATTTTTGTGTGAAAAATAAACACATCTTACCTAGATGTCACTCCCTTTCTTTATTTAGCTCCGAGAATTTGACCAGACGACTTTTTGTTTACAACGGACCGTTCAATATTGAAAGCTTGTATTTGGAATGTTTTGGGAATACTCATATTCATAATACAAAGTTAGCGTTCAATAAAACGACAAGATATTGAACATTAAAATTCTCTAGATTTTTGGTAGTATTTTATTAGAGACTATTTATTAGCTATATAATAAATTGTTTATCTTGTATTTATGTTTAAAAGTGACACAACGTGTACTTGATATTTGTATACTAGCTGTTTTGAGACATTCAGTGTTTTTTTTTCTTTACATTAAATACAATGTTTCTACATATAGTACCCTTAATTATTGTACTTGTAAAAAAGGATTTTTCAAAACGTGTTTCGCACCTGTGGGAATATAAAACATCCTGTATCTTAACTGAAATAAATTCCTTATCCAACAATGAATTATCTATAACTTTACAAGAATAAATTCATTTTCAAAAGGTATACATATGTGCACGTCTATTTTCCATTGATCTCATTATAAGAGGCCTCATTATAGTGCTACATGTCTTTTTTTAATTCAAAACAAGCATTCCTATTCATAAATAAATCCCATATCGGAAAGTGTTATCTGGTTCCAATTAAAAAATAAAAATGCCATAATTCTTTAAAAAAAATAACTGAAGCGAAACGAAATGCAAATTTGATCTATTTCTCATCAAAGTTAAATCAAATACCAAAAATATGTTAAACTTCTGCAAGCGTTTCGGAAAAAAATCGTGGAAAACCCCTAATAATTAAACGGGCCATAATTCCATAAAAATCATTGAAGTGCAAAGAAAAGCAAACTTGATCTATAACTTATCAAGATACACTCACTAGCCGGAAATCGGCTCAATAACTGCAAGCGTTTTGAAAAAAGAGAGGAAAGCTAAGTGGAACAGACGGACAGACAGACTGGGGTAAAGACGGACGGAGAGACGCAAAGGAAACCTTATGTTCCTTCCGGTTTCACCGGCAGAAGACTAAAAGATGACAAAAACTTCCAAGAAATCCTTTATTACCTCTTCCGTACCATAGGCTCGAGGAGAAAATGCTATGGTCATTTGTGCGTTGTCCGGCTTGTAGTGTGTGCAAAATTTTTAGAATATTGGCCATGACACAAGTACCTCTTTTTAATTATTGTAAAAATTGTCACAGGGTATTCCTGACGTAAGGACTCCCATTTATACAAAATTGGGGTTGTGAATCTTAAGCAAAGGAAGATAACTGGGTAAATAAAACCAAAAGTGATGGTTGCTAAAAATTTTCTTTTCAAGACAGTATAAGTCGGCAGATTAGCACAAAACTTGAAATGAAGAGGTTTTGAAAATATGAAATTATAAATGGCATTACGCAGGGGCAATAGGCATGGCCTCAAGGTCACTTCGAATTCAAAGTTGACCAAAAATTACATTTTATTTTAACTTTGAGATTTAGCTATTTTTAGGACTACATGTATATATGTTGGATGTTTAAATCTTGTCAATTGATGTATCTTATCATATTTACTCGAAACCAACTCATACTGATTTCATTTTTTTAATTTTGCGGCCATTCTTTTACAAATTGATTAAGAGGCTTTTTTATGAACAACGATCTACGATCATTAGACGTTGTCAGTTGATGCATTTTTGGTCTTCTGAGTACATCAACTAAAAGTAGGTCATCTTGACCTAAGTTTTGAATTTTATGGCTCATCTTTTCCAAAATATTCAAGGTCATTAATTCAAATATTGAAAATATTAAAATCCTCAAATCTTGTAAGATGATGCATTTTGGGGCCATAAAACCTCTTTATTAAAACGTAGGTCATAGATGCCTACATTTTGGATTTTGCGGGTATTCGATTTCAAAGTATCAAAGGCATCTAGGATCCATCTGAATCATTCTGCTGATTTTTTGTAAAAAATGAATTATACATTTCTCTTAAGAAAACTTAAACTGTCGGATATTTACATTTGAATTTTCAATTCCGACACTATGTATGTTCTATTTTTTCTTAATATTTTACTCAGGTTTTCCAGTATCAATTTGACTTACTGATTTGAAGTAACAAAAAGGTTATCTCTATTAAAAGTATTACATAAATTTGCAATAGATCAATTGATAATTCCAAAATAAGGCTTGTCTGATTTCACAATCTTCTTACAGGAGTCTGATAGGCCATATTTCAGACTATATGGGCAAAGAATGTGTGGCTGAATTTCTTTCATTTCATATATAAAAAGAGATTTTGTATCCTAGAACAAAATATCAAAGTTTCATAAAAATTGAATTTGAGGAGAAAATTTGACTTATCTATTGCGTCCTACTTTAAATGTAGTATTTAAGAAAATAACATATAAAAGAAAAATATAATTTACCCCTTATAGAGCAATCATTATTGTAGTAAAAACAGTATTGTACATGTCTTGGAATGTATGTCAAGCATGTAAAAAGTATGAAAACGTGGGTCCCTGATACGTGGTCAATGCAGCGAAATAAATACCCCTGCACAATAGGCTGTAACTGACAGATGCCTGCAAATCTAACTGTCAGGTTCGTTAAAGGTAATGAAAATAAAGAGGTCCAGAAAAAGCGTCAACTAAATATTAGGTCACCGTGGCCTGATTTTGAAATTATATGGCTATATTTCAATATTTCAGGTCTTAATCAGCTAAGAATCACCACACTTTGCCAATTGATACATCTTAGGTCCTCGGAGAACAACAACTAAACAGTAGGTCACCGTGATCTTCTTTTGAAATGTTATGGCTATATTTTGATATTTTAGGTCCTAATCAGCAACGTATCGTCGAACTTTGTCATTTGAGTTAACGTAAGTGCTCAGAGAATGTTAACAAGAAAGGACACCGTGCCGTGACCTACTTTTGAAATTTTATGGCTATATTTAAATGTTTCAGGTAGTTATTGGCTCATAATCATCAAGCTTTGTCATTATATGCATCTTTAGACTTGGATTATGGAAATCATCATCTAAAAAGTAGGACACTCGACCTACTCATGAAACTTTATGGCTTTAGTTATACAACTCAAGAACTAATCAGATTTAAGCTTGAATCATTAAATTTTGTCAAGCGATGCATCTTGGGTTCTTGGAGAACGAAAATTAGAAAGTAGGTTACTGTGACCTACTTTTGAAAGACCAAGGTAAAGTTTCAATACAAATTAAGCCCTGTATTTTTCTAAAAGATGAAAATGATGTAAGATATTAAAATTTATTCTTTTTGAATAATAGGAATTTCATGTAGTAAGAATATACAAATCATTTTTTTAATATGACCTCTTGAAAGAAAATTTTGTTGTCATTAACGCGTATTTTCCCGTATTTTTTTTTATTTGTAGAAGACATCAGTTTTCAGTGGAATTTTCTTTCAGAAAACATACTCTGCCACCGTCGTCCACAAAGAGTTTAAGATATGTGATTTTCAAAGCATTTTACATAATATATCATGTATGGGCGACAGTGGCAGATACTATTTTCTAAAAGAAAATAAGCATAGAAATGAGACATTCTGAGACTATTCTGCATTAAACTTAGAAATTTACCAAATTTATCACTTCATATTTCCAGAATGGTTCTCCTTCATACCATATTCTTTAATGATATATCATATTCATCTACTCAACTATTTATAAAGACAATTTCA